ACATATTCACGGATGATGTGATATCTAGGATTTGTTTCAGAATAATCTGAAGCAGAAGTTGGTAGGGATATAGATGAAATTGGATTGGCCATGAGCTGATAATTATTGAAGCTGGGTGATGGGCACATTATGCTATTCAGCTTACTTTTGTTTACATTTAAAATTTTTGATAATAAAACTTTTATTATAGTAAAATGTACATAACATACAATATATCATTTTAACCATTTTCAAGTGTACCGTTCAGTGGCATTAAGCACTACATTGTTGGGCAACCATCCCCATCACCAGAACATCACCTGAACTGAAACTCTGTACCATTAAACAGTATCTCCTTATTACCTCTCTTCTGGCCCCTGGCAAATACATTTCTGTTTTCTGTCTCTGAATTTGACTCCTTTAGGTGACTCATATAAATGAAATCATATAATATTTGTCCTTTTGTGTTTGACTTATCTTCAAGGTTCATCCAAGACCAAACTAGGCCTTCATAGGAAGGATCAAGAAGTATGTGACAAATATCCATGTGTACAGAATGGTCAGTATATTAGATAAGGCAGTTCTCCCCTTGAGACTCTGAACAGGGATTAGGTTTAAATGAGAGAGCTGTGGAAGAGTTTCCTTGAGCTCAGGGCAGTTCTGACAAGAGAAGCTGAGATCCACTGTGGGATGTTCTCAACCTGGAGAATCCAGAGATGGTGAGGACAGTTCTGGACCTGCCCAGGGGGTCTGAAGTCTGAACCACACAGCAGAGCAAAATACATAATACAGCTGATTCTGGAGAATATCTCAAATTCCAAATTGCTTCCAGAACTCTGGGTACTTGGCACCTCAAGGTTAAGCTGAGATCCATTCTCACCATGCTCCCTCCCACATTGCTCTTTATGATGTCTAAAGGATAATTCTCCAAAAACCAGAAGAGTAAACACAGATTGCAGCTTAATATTTGGTACAATTTCTGGTTTGGCTTCTATTCTAATTTGGCTTGTCTCCAGTAGGAATAGATAAGAAGGTTTTTTTGTGTTTTTTTTTTTTTTAATTCATAAGTAACATTACTCATGCATGACTTACTTTTGGTGTAAACCTGGAAAGTAGTTCCTGAGCTTAGGGTAAAAATACAATTGGCTGAGCTACATGTGTTGGAAATAAGTGGGTAGGGATGCTCAGGAAGTAGAAAAGCTGCCTGAGAGGTGGGAGAGGGTCATGAAAGCAAGAGCTATTCTAAGTAACCCTAAATAGCAAGTGTAACTTCCTTTCCCTAGTCTTTTAACTTTTTACCTCCCCCTCTGAAGGTTCTGGCACTTCCTGGGTTTTATGGACTGTAGATCTTCAGAACTCTAAAGCCTTTAGGATCCGACATCTACAGACATTATAGAAGTCCTATGCTAGTTTCCCAAGCAAGATAGCTATGATCAATATTCCTCATTATAGGATAAGTTCAGGAAGGAAAGTTTTAGAAACAACCCAAATATCCATGGACATGAATAGATAAAATGTTGTATATAGATACAATGGAATATTATTCAGCCTTAAAAAGGAATAAAATTCTGATATGTGCCCTGTCTTTTCACTGATGTATTAAAATCCTTTATATTTTATGTTGTTATTAATATGTTAGGCGTTATGTCTGCCATTTTATTTTTTGTTTTCTATCACCATTATTCTCTATTTTATTTTTCCTGCCTTCCTGTGGGTTGCTTGAACTTTTCTTAGAATTCCATTTTTGTGTGTCTATAGTGGGCATTTTTTAAAAATCATAGTCTTTTTGAATATATATCTTTGTATAGCATTTTTAATGGTTGCTGAAAGCATCACATATGTACACACACATGTAACATCACAGTCTGCTGGTGTTATCACTTTTAACAGGTCTTCCGTCTTGCTAGACTGCATCTTTTCTAGTCCTTTGGCTAGAGAGAACCGGCCTTTGTTGGTCTTTTTCTGTCTGCATCCATTGGCATTTCCAGGTTGCTGGCTTCTTGATCTCCAAATACAGGATATATGAGGCGAAAAGAAAATTCCAAGGTCCCTAGCCAGTCTGCCTTTTTATCTCTACAAAGTCTTGCATTTGTTTTATATATAAAACATCTGAGGGTTTTAGTTGTACATAGTGGAAGAAATAGGGAAAAGTACATCCACTCCATCTTCCCAGAAGTGGAGATTTCTCCCAGTTTTATTTTTGATCTAACATAGAATTAAGGTCAATTTTCTTTTTCTTTACTATTCTAAGTATATCTATGACTCTGGGCCAGCCCATTGGATCCAGTCCTGGAATTGACCTCACAGGAAGTAGGCTCATAGCTAGATTGTTACAGAATTTCAGGCAAATACCTCTATTCCATCCAGTACACTCATCTCTCTTTCCTGTGTCTTTATTCTCCCTTGTTTGCATCATTACCAGAGAGCTGCTACTAGCAGAGACCTTTCGGCCACATGATGGTGCCCCAGAGTTGTTCAAGCTAACCTAAGCCCTTTCTGCTCTTCTTTGGGCCCCTGTCTTTAACTTCAAGGCTATTTATTTAAACCGAGGTATAGATATGAGTGACTAAGCACACACACACAGAGATGTGAAGACCCAACTGTGTTTTTCTTTAAGCCATGTCTTCTCATATATATGGAATCAATATCAAAAATTGGTTTTGTTTGATATATATATATATATATTTTTTTTTTTTTTTGGTATCGAGAGTAACTTTGTGGGAATTCATACAGGAATTTTTAGAAAGCAGTTGTCATTCCTTTTAATGAATTCAGTTGCCATTTTATATCTGGGCTCATTGAAAATAATCTGTAATCTCAGGATAGCTTTTAAGAAAGGAAATTTATAAGTGCATTTTGAAAGAGATTCACTCTCAATGTTTTTTGATTTGTTTGAATCCCTGAACTAAACTTCCATAGTGAAGATGTTTGATTACCAATCCAGCTTTTAAAATAGTACCTTATAAGATTATATAAAAATGCTTAGGATAAATAGATTGGCAAATAGAGTTAGATTTTGGGTAGTGAGGTTATGACTGATTTCCTCTTTCACTTTTATTCTTGCCTATATTTTTCAAGTTTTCAGTAATAGAGGTAAGCATTTTTTATTTCAAAACAGAGGTAGGCATTTTCTTTAGCTAATCAAAAAATGTCTATTAACCATCCAATATATGTGGAACCAGCATATACATCTTTCCAGGCTTAAGAGTTGGGTAAGAAAATTATTAGGCACTCCCTCACTGAAGTCAGGGGCCATATCTTTCAAAACTTTGAGCTATGATACCTACCATATGCCTTATACATGGAGAGTTCTGGGAAATAACTGTTGAATGAACAGAGAAGCCATTACTCATAACTTTTTCTGGTTGTAAAGCTTTGGGTCAGAGTCATCACAGTGGTATTGGTACACTTCTCTGCTCACATCCAGTGGCCAACTTGTGTCCATTCCGTCCATTCATTCTAGAACTAAGAATTAGAGATCACGTAACTAACTACTGTTTCCTAAAATAATAAGATTAGTAATGGAGTAGAATGGATAGAATGGGCCAAAAATACATATAAATCCAAAGCATTAAACAGTACTTAAAAGTTCAGCTCTCACTAATTAATTATTAGACTAACAGAGAGAATCCATGTGTGTTAGACTAACAGGTAATCAAGCAATATTTGACAACTGATGAAATAAATGAATGAAAAATTATTAAGTAAACAATTTTAACTAATATCCTGAAAGTCTACATGGGAAGAAATTTTTGAGTTAAGGAAAGCTAGGCTAAAATAAATGCCTTTCCAAACAAGACCCAAGAAAATTAAGGATTTCTTCAGTGACTTTCAGCTTGTGATTTTCATAGGGCCTGGAGTTTTTATAAATTATAGAACTTTTATATTTCCAGTACACTGTTGTGTAACTTAAGTTAAAATATTTTATTAGCTTTTATATATTATACTTAGTAATATTCATTTATAGCTTAGTTTAATAGGTTGTACATGAAAACAGTCTATAGACTTTTCCTTACGAAAGATTGAATGTAAGCAAGCTCACCAAAGTGCAAGATTTACTAAAAATCCCACTTCAAACTTTTAAGAGGAATCCATGTGCACACAAGACATGTGGGAAGTGGAAAGAATGGGGGTAAATTCACTGAATGGAAAATAAGCTGGAGGATGAAAATTGACAGACCTTTTGGAGGAAAGAGGGATTTCAGTGAAAAGTAGCATTCTTAGCAGAATTATGATGTGGAAAAGTTGACTGAAAATTCAGTATCTTCATGGTTACATATGACTGAATCCCTTCATTGTTCTCCTGAAACTATCACAGCATTGTTAATTGGCTATATCCCAATACAAAGTTAAAAGTTAAAAAAATTTAAATAAAAAAAAAGAAATATCTATTCCAGCCATTTACAAACTTTTAATAAAAGAAGGGTTAGTCTCAGTCCTGTCTGACTCTTTGCAATCCCATGGACTGTAGCCTGCCAGGCTCCTCTGTTGCCATTCCCTTCTCCAGGGGGTCTTCCTGACCCAGGGATTGAACCCAGGTCTCCTGCATTGGAGGCAGGTTCTTTACCATCTGAGCCATCCTTTGTTTAAATAAAAATCTATGCATAGTACCAATATATAAGTAGACAAAAACTGAGCTGTTTGGGTTGAAACAGGGTTGGGAGTGTATAGGAACCAAACCCCGTCCTTCTTAGCCCCCTACCTCTTTCCCAGTGGGCCCTATGGAGCACAGTTTAAAAATAGCTCATCTTGTCTATGCTTAGAAACCTCCCCAGGTATCCCATGTAGCCTGGCCAGTGGGCAGGTGTTAGATAATCATTTGTAATAAGGGAGCATTTTCCTCAGGCTTGTTTACAAAGACGGGCAGTTATGTCTTACCAGAAAAGACTGTTTAGGAATATTTTCTCACCTCTTACCAGAAAAGACTGTTTGACCCATTGAGATTACCGTCTGGGAGAATCACTCCCCTTACTTGAGATTCTTCCCTTGACTTTCTTGGGGACTGGCTTTGTGTTTTTCAGCTCTTGAATGTGGTCTCTCACCTCGCCAAGCAGAATCTTCAAGTGCTGGTCCTGGGCCGGAAGCATATGTTAACACAAAATTCCCGGTGGAGAAGAGTTGAGATGGAAAAGATGCAAAAGCAAGCCAGCTTTTTTTTCGCTGACAACATGTAGGTATTGAAGTTATTAAGTGAATTACACTAGGCTACAGTCATCTGCTTGTTATCTGTTTTTTTATTTTTAAAGTGCATATGTGTGTGGGTATATATGTGTACTCAGCCTCATTCCAAAAAAAAAAAAAAGATGTGAGGCAGCTTATAAAAATATAGTTTTTATAGCAGGATAAACTTAAGTAGATGAGAAATCAGTTTAAAGGAGAAATAAGTTAAAGCCCCAAATGAGATTAGTACACAGAATGCATGCCATAAATTCCTGAACAGATCATTTAATAAATATTTAACAAATATGAGCACCATCTGTGTTCCTGGAGAAATACCAGTGAACAAAACCAAGTCCCTGTCCTCTTGGAACTTAGCAGTAAAGAGGTAAACAAATAAACAGGTAATGTCCTTCCGAGCAGTGATCAAAGCTATGAAGACAGGGAATGAGTGAGTCGTTGGAGAAAGGAGAGGTAGTGGGAAGAAACTACCAGGCAGAAGGAACAGAAAGTGTTCAAAAGGCCCTGAACAACAACGACAAAGGGCCTTCCCAGTGGTCCAGTGGCTAAGACTCTGCACTCCCAATGCACGGAGGCCAAGTTTGATCCCTGCTCAGGGAACTAGATCCCGTGTGCTGCAACTAAGAGTTCACATGCCACAACTAAAAATCCTGCGTGCCACAACCAAGACCCACTGCAAATAGGGAGGGAGGGAAAGAGGGCTGTCAGTCAGGAATGAGGGGAGCTGGCAGGCCAGTGTGGATGGTCAGTTCTGAGGTCACAGAGAAGGCAGGGACCGCGTTACAGAGGACCTTGTGGGCTCTGGATTTTATTCTAAATATAAAGGGAATGTTGCTATGAGCTACAGCTTCCCAGGAAACCAAAGGAACGTGGAAAACATGATCAACAACAAAATACAGTGTCCATAGAGTATGCAGAAAGTAGCTAATCAGGAGGAGCACAGATCTACAACACCCTGTTAGCATGCATTTAGGTTCTCATACTGTTTATGCTGACAAAGGTTTATTTACAATTTAGCATGGATCATGAGCGAACCTGAGTCTGGGTTTTGTTGGGTTGAATGTGATAACTTCAAGATTTGTCAGTATTGTCCAAACCGTTTTTTCTTAAAAAGGTCAAATGGAGGAATTCTCTGACAGTACAGTAGTTAGGATGGCAATCTCACTGCTGTGGCACAGGTCCAATCCCTGGTCAAGGAACTAAGGATCCCACAGGCCTGACAGTGCAGCCAAAAAAAAAAAAAATGTCAAATGACAATCAATGCATAAAGCTGGAAGCTAACCCCTCCTTCAGATCCCAAACCAAATCTCATTTTTCTGTAGCTAAGTCCTTTTATTTATTCATGGAGTGGGTACTTCCATCTTTCCAAGACTATAAGATAATAGTAATGCCCTTCATTTAGTTACATTAGACAGCATTGGCTAAACGTGAGGACCGCAGGCTTGAGAATCAATTCACCCTGGTTCAGATCATGGCCCTGTCACTTCCTATCTGGGAAGTGTTTCCCTTGTCTGTCTTCTTTTCTTCATAGGTTCCCTCATGGGGATTCAGTGAGAAAATACTTGCAAACAATACATGTGAGGCTCTTGGCACAGCACCAAGTACGTGGAAAGCATCTGTATTCATTGCTGTCACCATCATCATTATTTTGCATAGGTAGAAGAACTCAGTAACGGTAGTGTTATAACCAAGAAGCCTGTTGGAAATTGGTCTCGTGCTTGGTTTGGAGCCTGTATTTATTGTATATGCTGAAATTCCAAACCCAGTGGTAAAGATTGATTCAGCCACCTTCTGTGGCTTTGGATTTGAGTATTTAAATTTTTAACATTAACTCTGTTTGCCACTAATGTGCCAGAGAAGCGTGTTCAAACCTAAACTAGGGCGAATAGTATAGTGAATGCCCCCGGCACTGTCACTCAGCTCCCATAGCTACTGTCATTTGTTAATGTTGTTCCATATAACCCCCACGTTGTTTTCTTTTTCCTGAAGATTATTTTAAAGACAGATTCCAGTTATTTTATCATTTCACTTGAAATTGAAATACTTTAGTATAAGGTATCCTGTAAAGGATCCACTTTGGGTCATTTGGATCAAGATATATGGCTTAATCACATGTTGCCATCAGAATCTCCTGCGTCAAGGTAACTACTGCTGTTTTTACAGCACATGTATTCAAGCACTCACTGCTGATGTTGAGGGCTCATTGGAGACTTTGAGCTCCTGGCTCTTCTCAGACTGGAGGTGCCTTTGGGTGCTGATCAGGATGGCTACCCAGAAGCTACTTGGAGATACCAGTTTCAGCTTTGAGGTTATCCCCTTACTTTTGCAAGAAAAGTGTCCTCTTGCCCTGTTAATATTATGAGTATTTCTTGAATTCGAGTGAGGAAAGGGCTAGGGGAAAGATGTGCTCTGTAGTGGATGAGGCAGATGAGGAAAACTCCATGGGGACACAGAGAACCAGCTTTTAAGTATGAAGAGAGAATTACTGTTAGAATTCTCCATTCTAGAGGTAGAGCCCAGTTGAACTGCTAAGAATCCTAAGTGTTAGCATTCCTTTCCCTGTAGCTGTCTATCTGTGTTCTTGACCATGTTGTCTACCAGCTGAAGAATTGAAGGTTGTTCATAAGTATCCTTGATTGATTATATCAGTTAAGAACAAAGAATACTTCTGAGGAAAGTAGAGAAAGAAGTAAACAGCATGGTTGGAATGCTGTTCTCTGCCTCTTTGGATGTGTGTTTGATTGTGTCCATTCTTATGTCTGGCTCAGCTCTGAGGATGATCCGTTCCTTCTGTATGCCACACTGCACTCGGGAAACCACTGCAAGTTTATCACAAAAGACCTGATGCGAGACCACAAGGCCTGTCTGCATGATGCCAAGACCCAGCGCCTGTTCTTTAAGTGGCAGCAGGGACATCAGCTGGCAATTGTTAGTAAGCATCCAGGAGCAAAAATAACCTTTCAGGTATGTTATCCATCTTCTCCATAACATCAGCAGAGCCAACTATATAGTAAGAATGTGACAAGGTCAAAAACAGCGCAACTAGTTCTCGATGTTTTGTTTTTCTTAGCTTTAGTTTGATATTTCGGAGAAGGCAATGACAACCCACTCCAGTACTCTTGTCTGGAAAATCCCATGGAGCCTGGTAGGCTGCAGTCCATGGGGTTGTGAAGAGTCGGACACGACTGAGCGACTTCACCTTCACTTTTCACTTTCGTGCATTGGAGAAGGAAATGGCAGCCCACTCCAGTGTTCTTGCCTGGAGAATCCCAGGGATGGCGGAGCCTGATGGGCTGCCGTCTATAGGGTCGCACAGAGTCGGACACGATTGAAGCAACTTAGCAGCAGCAGCAGCAATTTGGTATTTGGAATTAGCCAGATCCTAAAAACACAGAGTCTGCCAGAGCAGTGTTTTCCTAGGCCAACCCCATGTTAACTGACGTATTGAAGACCCCTGAAGTGTCGTCAGCTGTGACTTCAGTTATGTTATCAGTTACAAATCCCTATACGTGTTTTTTATTTTCCTATTTATTTGCCGTAGCTCAAAATTCTGTATGTCTTATGACTCATCATACTTCTGTTTCTGCTGAATAACTCCTTTTTCCTGTTTAATCCACTTTTGTGGCACAGTGTCAATTGAGTTCTTTTTTTATTCTAGTTGAAACACCTGTAAGTACAAGAATGTCTCTTGTGTAAAAGCTGAGAGAAAATCTAAAGGCAATTTACTACAGAAAAATACACTAGCCAATGGTAAATACAGTCCAGGGCTCAACCAACAGACAAAAACAACATTTGTAGGAAATATGGTATCAAATGATACCACAGAAATGCAATCTGCAAAATCAACTGTGGGAAACAGTATAGGACCTGGTTTCCTCAACAACAAAAAACTGCAAGAAAAATAGAGTTGAAAAGAGAAGCTCTAGATTGTAAGAATTGAGAGAGAGTTTAGCCAGTCACAATGTAACAACCTTATTTCAATTCCTATTCAGACAAACTGTAAAATATAATTGCACACATATAATAATTGGAAAAATGTAAACAGTAGAAATTTGACAATGTTAAGGAGTTGTTAATTAAGTATAATAATAATAGTCCTTTTATATTTACAAAATAAGTTCTTTCAGAGATACATACTGAATTATAGAAGATATGATATAATATCTGAGATTTATTTCAAAATAATTTGAGGGATTCATCCATTTGGATGAAGCAAGATTAGCCATGAATTTTGATGATTTTTGAGGCCGGGTAATGGGTATATATGAGTTCATTGTGCTGTTTCTTTATTTTTGTATATTTGAAAGTTTTCTCTGTTGCATACAAAATCATTAAAACAAAAAATGAGTATACATTTTTTTTTTCTTATAGAGAGTCCTTAACCTTAAAAATGAAACCTCCGGGTAATGGGTATATATGAGTTCATTGTGCTGTTTCTTTATTTTTGTATATTTGAAAGTTTTCTCTGTTGCATACAAAATCATTAAAGACAAAAAAGGAGTATACATTTTTTTTTTCTTATAGAGAGTCCTTAACCTTAAAAATGAAACCTCCCCAAAAAGGAACTCCTAACAATAGGGTTCATCTTTTTTTTAATTGAAGTATAGTTAATTTACAATGTGTCAACTTCAAGTATGCAGCAGTAATACAATGGTAGATATATATATATATGGGGGTGTGTGTATATGTATATATATACTTTTCTTTTCCATTATAGGTTATTATACTGATTATCTTTCTCTGTGCTATACAGGAGGTTCTTATTGTTTACCTATTTTTTTTTTTTAAGTGAGGAAGTCTTTTTTTTTTCTTCTTTTTTCTTTATTTTTGGCTGCACTGGGTCCTCATTGCTGCACACGGGTTTTTCCTTAATTGTGGCGAGTGGGAGCTACGCTTGTGGAGCACAGACTCTAGGTGCACAGGCTTCAGTACTTGGGGCCCAGGGGCTCATTAGCTTGGCTCTTGGGCCCAAGAGCGGGCAGGCTTCGGTAGTTGTGGCTCGAGGGCTCTAGAGCACGGGCTCAGCAGTTGTTGTGCGTGGGCTTAGTTGTTCCTTGGCATGTGGAATCTTCCCAGATGAGGGATCAAACCCATGTCCTCTGTACTGGCAAGCAGATTCTTTATCTACTGCACTACCAAGGAAGTCTTCTCTCTTATTAGTAATGTGTATCTGTTAATCCTAGCTCCTATTTTATCCTCCAACCCCCACCGTTCCTACCGCCAGGATTCATCTTCACAGAGTTAGCTGCTCTTTGAAAATCCATTGTTAAGTAAGACAAAGAATACATCTCTGAAGCAAACTAAGAAATCGTCAGAAAAGAAAGGGAAATGGCCAGATATTCCTTTAATGTTTTTCTCATTGTGTGGTTCCCTTTTTAATTCAACAGCATATTCTCAGCTATGACACCGTGGTGCAAACAACTGGAGACTCGTGGCACATACCTTATGATGACGACCTGGTGGAAAGATATTCCTATGAAGTGCCAACCAAATGGCTTTGCCTTCACCGGAAGACGTAAAGACTCTTGCCCCATGCTAAATTTGTGTCTGGGTGTCCTCCTGGTTGGCATCAGAGCTCTTAAGTTGATGCTTGTTTAGGGCATTGCTCCTGTTCTGTTTGATTCAGTTTTTCCTGTTTGGTCCAGTTGGTTTATATATCAATAAGTTGACTTTTTAATTAAATGAGATATAATATCTTTTCATAACCAGTTGCATTTTTCGCCCTATCATTTGTTAGGATTTGAGGCTTATCTGAAGTTGGGGAACTCAATACGAAGTGATGCCTGCGTTGGTGTGTGCTAAGTCGCTTCAGTAATGTCCGACTCTTTGTGACCCTGTGGACTGTAGCCCACCAGGCTCCTCTGTCCATGGGATTCTCCAGGCAAGAATACTGGAGTGGGTTGCCATGCTCTCTTCCAGGGGATCTTCGCAGCCGAGAGATGGGACCTGAGTCTCCTGCAGCTCCTGAATTGCGGGCAGATTATTTCCTGCTGAGCCACCAGGGAAGACAGAGTGACGCCTGCCTTTCTCTTGCTGGGCCAGCCATTCCACGGACATGGGCAACAAGGCCTTCTGGCATCCTTTTTGCTGCCCTTCCAGGTCCCTCATAGCAGAACCAGTCCATCTGCTGTTGGGCTCCACGTTGTTTGTAAATCCCTTCTCCATTTCTGCTATCGTCTCATCCTCTACATGCTATCTCCTACCCACACTGAATCACTTATGATCCTCTGATGAGCTGCCTCAGATGTCAAAGGCTTATTAGCGACTTTTACTTATTATCCAATGATTTGGGTTGGAGGAAAGGGGGCACTTCCTTCTTTTTCGACTATGATCATTTTTCTTCATCCTGTAATGCTTTTCAGGATTGATTCAGCATTTTGTGAATTCCACTGGGCTTCCCGGATAGTTCAGTTAGTAAAGAATCCACCTGCAATGCAGGAGACCCCAGTTCAATTCCTGGGTTGGGAAGATCCACTGGAGAAGGGGTAGGCTACTCACTCCAGTATTCTTGGGCTTCCCTTGTGGCTCAGCTGGTAGAGAATCTGCCTGCAATTCGGGAGATGTGGGTTCGATTCCTGGGTTGGGAAGATCCTCTGGAGAAGAGAAAGGCTACCCACTCCAGTATTCTGGCCTGGCAAATTACATGGACTGTATAGTCCATTGTGTTGCAAAGAGTTGGACACAACTGGGCAACTTTCACTTTCATTAATTCCATCACTTGGGATGAGGGTTTTCTAAATCATATAGATTTGTTTCATTTCATCAAGTTTGGCTTACTTTACCAAAGTGAGTAAGTTTTCATAATTGCGTTTCTGTTTTACTGGCTTGCTCGGCAGTGTATTTTTTTTTCCCTTTTTTGGCAATGTATTTCTTGATTTTAACTGAAAAAATTCAGGTCTGCAACACTTTATAACAGATTTTTCCTTATACATACTATATGATTTCATATTCAAGAATAGGCAAAACCAATCTATGCTGGAAAAAATCAGAATAAGGGCACAAGAGAGCTGACTTTGTGGGGGTGATGGAAGGTTCTGGGTGGTGCTAACGTAGTGTATGTAATGTTAGTCAAAATTCATTACACTAAACACTTAAAATTGATGCATTTACAACAACATAACTGAAAAAAGTGTATTAGCATAAAACAAGTTATTTACGTGACATGAACAGCGACCTAATTTACATAAGACCACATACACGGATATAAGTAGGGTCTATATGCCTTCTCCCATATTATGCACAGGGAGACAGTCCAGGAAAACCGGAGGCATGGATGTTTGACCTCCTTACCCATTATTGGATTCAGCACTGCCGCCCCCAGAGGAAGGAACTCTCCAGACAAGGGTCTGATAAACTGAGGGCATCAAAAGAAGTTGAGAGTGAGAACGCTCTCAAATCCAACCTTTTTTTCTAAATTTCATGAACTACATACTTAGAACACTGGGCTTTCAGTGAGCTAAACTTTTTTTTTAAAGAAACTATCCTAGTTTTAAGAAAATTAGGGGAAATGCATTTGTTAAACCTGTCTAAAAGCTTAATGCAGATTCCTCACAAGTAGGATGCAGAAAGAATGTAGGACTTTGGAGCAGGAGTGAACCTTGAAGATCGTAAGGCCAAACAGTTGCATTTTATAGAGGAGGAAGATGCGATGGCTCCCCTGGATCCCACAGCCAGTTAGTGGAGACATTTAAGCCATAATCCAGCTCTTCTGATTCTCAGCCAAATAGTCTTTCTTGTACTGTACACCGTGATTTAGGCTAGAGTAGTTCATACTCAACCTGAATGGTAGAGCATCCGGTGTGTAGATTTAGAAACTATGTTAGCTACATAAGAGAAAGTAGGAAACAGGATAAAGGAGATGGGGAGGACAACCTCTTAAAGGGCCCACATTTCCATAACGGCTCATCAGGGTAGAAGATTGTGGTAGGGAAATTATATTATTTTTGAACTTTTTGATGCCATTCCAAAACAAAATCCCTAATCTCTGCTGGAGGTAAATTGAGGTGCATCTGTCATTTGTCTAGAAGGAGGGGAATTGTAGGCTGCTCAGAGTCAATTGCACTGACGTGGAACCCTGGGGAGTGCAGATTTTTCTCTGAATGGAGACAGCTGGTACTCTGTGCTTAGGCTACCTTTGTATTCTGATCACCTGAGTGAAACAGAAGCTACCTGTCTAATTCAAAGTCCCAGACACAGTGGGAAGAAGGAATTCTTTAAAACCTGCGCCCTGGATTGAGAGTATCTTTAGAGTCAGCCAGCCATGAAAAATGAAGGCTTTGAAACTCTGCCACTGAAAAGTATTTCTAAAGTGCTTTGTACTTCCCCCTGGCATGCTCCTGAATTTATATTCTCTTTTCCTCCTGCCATTCTCAGACCCAATAAAGAGAACATCTCAAAGGAGAAGCCTGAGTTCATCCTCTTAGGGTTCCACTGGGACTGTCTCACCTCAGATGCCTTGTTCTTCACATTAAATGAATCTTTTTCTTCAAGTTTGTACTTAAATATAATTACTGCTTCCCTGGTCCTCTAGCAGGTTTCTTGCTTTTTTAAACAAACTGTCCTAAGATATTATAAAATGCATATGTGTTCATATTATTAATAGATTTCTTTTTCTCTGATAACTTCATTCTAAAGGAGGCATAGAAAGGAAGGATATGTTATGTAGGCACCTGAATTCTGGCCCATCATAGTGAGTCTTTGCTAAAAATCAAAATTACCACGATAGTTGAGGGCAAAGCTAAACGGAGTCCTGGATCTGGTACTTTTGCCCATCTTTCAGCAACTTCGAACTTCTAGAGTGAGAAGCATCTAGGGAACCCTTGTGGAAATGACTGGGAGTAGAGGAACATAGACCAGTGTGATGACATTGTGGGATTTAGGTTTGAGTTCTTTCAGGGCTGGGACCTAGGCAGACAGAGTTCTCAGTAAGTGGAACAAAGCAGCTGCTCGAGCCTCCAATAACCCACAGGATGAGAGTAGGGTTGCCAAATAAAATACAGTCTCCCAATTAAATTTGAATTTCAGATAAATGACAGTTCTTCTGTATAAATAGGTCACAAGTATTGCAGGGACTTATTTACCCTAAAATTACTTACTGCCTATCTGAAATTCACAATTAGCAGGGCATCCTACATTTTTATTTGCTCCATCTGGAAACTCTAGGTGGGAATTAGATGGGAAGATGAGGGGTAGTGGGAAATGAGGCATCTATAAAGCCCATAGCACTACAGGAGACTGGAGGGGGGCAAGGATAAGAAAAGATGTAAGTAAAAGGCAGCCTGGGCAGGAGGTGGGGCTAAGGGCAGAGGTGAGAAGACTAGCTTTTTTCTGCTTTATCCCAGCCAATGACAATCTTGAGTCTACACGATACAAATGAAGGAAGTTCCATTCACAGATCTACTTAGAGGAAGCCATACAGTCCAGTGGGATGAAAGAAAATATAGGAGACAGAATATTCTCTCAGTATTCAGTTCACTTCAGTTCAGTCACTCAGTCGTGTCCCGACTCTTTGCGACCCAATGAACTGCAGCACGCTGGGTCTCCCTGTCCATCACCAACTCCCAGAGCCTACACAAACTCATGTCCACTGAGTCGGTGATGCCATCCAACCATCTCATCCTCTGTCATTGCATTCTCCTCCAGCCATCAATCTTTCCCAGCATCAGGGTCTTTTCCAGTGAGTCAGTTCTTCGCATCAGGTAGCCAAAGTATTGGAGTTTCAGCTTCAGCATCAGTCCTTCCAGTGAATATTCAGGACTGATTTCTTTTAGGATTGACTGATTGGATCTCCTTGCAGTCCCAGGGACTCTCAAGAGTCTTCTCCAACACCACAGTTCAAAAGCATCAATTCTTCGGCGCTCAGCTTTCTTTATAGTCCAACTCTCACCTCCATACATGACTACTGGAAAAACCATAGCCTCGACCAGACGGACCTTTGTCAGCAAAGTAATGTCTCTGCTTTTTAATATGCTCTCTGGGTTGGTCATAATTTTCCTTCCAAGGAGTAAGTGTCTTTCAATTTCACGGCTGCAGTGAGCATCTGCAGTGATTTTGGAGCCCAAAAAAATAGTCTCACTGTTTCCATTGTTTCCCCATCTATCTGCCATGAAGTGATGCAACCAAATGCCATGATCTTAGTTTTCTGAATGTTGAGCTTGAAGCCAACTTTTTCACTCTCCTCTTTCACTTTCATCTAGAGGCTCTTTAGTTCTTCTTCACTTCCTGCCATAAGGGTGGTGTCATCTGCATATCTGAGGTTATTGATATTTCTCCCAGCAATCTTGATTCCAGCTTGTGCTTCATCCAGCCCAGCGTTTCTTATGATGTACTCTGCATATAAGTTAAATAAGCAGGGTGACAATATACAGCCTTGACGTATTCCTTTCCTGATTTGGAACCAGTCTGTTGTTCCATGTCCAGTTCTAACTGTTGCTTCCTGACCTGCATACAAGTTTCTCAAGAGGCAGGTCAGGTGGTCTGGTATTCCCATCTCTTTCAGAATTTTCCACAGTTCATTGTGATCCACATAGTATTTAATGAAAATAAATGCCACAAAACAAAAGAGATGGGACCACCAATGAATAAATGCAGTAAATCTTGAGAAATAATCTTCAATTTTCTCTTGTCATGTCTCTGTTATGGTGTTTCAAGATTCCCTGAAGACTTTTGTCCCCACATTTTGTCTCTGTTGGCAGTATCTGATGGATAC